CCATTCATGATAGTAATTAAAAACATAAGAAGTGAACAAGAGTACAAATGGGCTTCTTTTACAGATATTCATAGAACAACGAATTCACTTCCATAACTCGACGTTTCACGACAAACGTCGAATCATCAGTATAACAACTTTTATATACTGTTGCATCAATATAATATCTGATGAACGATCAGTTAACAAGACTACTAATGACAATTATATCCCTAATCCACATTTCCTCCTTATCAATTTGTTTTTGTTTTGAATGAATGTTTTTGAATGTTTTTGCAGACATCTGCAGATAAAACACCACTCTATACCCCAGACAAGTCAAATACTGACTTGGACGAGTCTGAGGATGGATTATGCAGATACAACATCCTCGTAACAAGGGGGGACACTATTCCTCAATATTAACAAAAAGCACTGTACTCATGACTCGAGTCCCCCTCTCCACGCAGGCCAAATAACAATATTTGCCGCTACCGAACCAAAATATCTAACCTAATGGTGTAATAAACAGTTTGTCTAACTAAAGCAGACGTCTCAGCCGACCCACACTGACGCCTCAGCCTACCCACACTAACGCCTCAGCCTACCCACTCTGACGTCTCAGCCTACCCACACTGACGCCAATCACAAACGCTCCAATGCTAACAAAGCCAGAGCACTATTATCACAGCTGCCGTCCTCCACTCCACCGTTGAACGCCCATCATCTGACCTTCTGGTGACAAATCCCAATTAACGGTTCAGAGTTAACGTGAGAAGCGACGCTGGGTTTGGGATATACTGAAGAGATCTGCGTCAGGATTACGTCAGTGTTGCAGTGGATATCACCGGGGTTGCAGTTGGAGTGGGTACTAATGGGGTGAGATGACGGTGGGTGGGAAGGGGGGGGGGCAAGAAGAGTTGTGTGAATGCTGGAAGAGATAGGGGCAGGCGGGGAAGAGGGTCCTGGAAACCCAGCCGAGCCAGACAGTAACGAGCGTCACGTCACGCGCGGCCGACCTTACAACGTCATCCAGGAAATGTGACAAGCAGGACGCTACTGCTGTACCAGAAGCACTGTGACGCAACCCATCACAAAGTGACGAGTTCAACCACAATACGATGCGTTCAAACACAATGTCAGGCATCAAATTACAATGTCACTCTCCCAGACTCAGGACACAACACGGCGAGCTCGGACATAACATGACGTGTGCAGACATAACGTGACGCGGCCAGACACAGTACAGACACAGCCAGAGGTGAACTCCGACAACGCTACAGGCCAGGAAAACCCTGATAAACCTGTAGATACTGCTCTACAATGCCAGATATTAGGCTACGGGCACAGCGTGTGATAGGCCAATGCACCTTCGCGATATAAACCCCGTCAAAAGCACCAGCGCCGCCAGGGTCGTCACCCCCAACCAAGATCCATCCCAAACTTACTCCCGTTGGTTCTCGCCCCAAGCCCAGATCTTCTCAGAGTATCAACAAAGTTTTTTGACGAGGTGACTGGCGTGAAACGACGACAACTGATTTGTATTTTAAATAAGACAAGTTGTAGTATGCCATAATGCAACGCCACACTAACCAACACCTTTAATGAGTCGCTTAGTCACTCACTATTTCTCTATCTCTCACTCACTCTCTCAACACACACACATACACGCGTGCACACTTTGAACAAGGGAGTGCTAGAAGGCGTGCACGTGGTGTTCCTCGCAGATGAGCATAATGACTGGTAGCACTACGTGAGAGGTGGCGCCACGTGTCCCAGGGTGACCTACTAGACGCAGGCGCACTAGGTCGGACGGTGGCATACACCTCACTCATCACAACATTGTCTCCTCAAGTAATGACATTTATTTATTTATATACAAAAAGGTACATTGGGTTTGTGAGAATACATACCATAGTATTTACAATCTTGTAAAGCCACTAGTACGCGCAGCGTTTCGGGCAGGTCCTTAATCTGGACCTTTCAGCGTTTCGGGCAGGTCCGGGCAGGACATAATAGGAAGTAACCTTTTCGCGCCAAATTAAAAACGTGGCTGGCGACGCTGTCACACCCACGTGTATGATAATTAACCATTTGTATTTCTAACAAAACTGCTCACTACATCTATTAATCAGATGCTAAACATTCTTTAATTTAAAAAGCGTTGTGTTCAGTTATTAGAAAATATTAATCAAACAACAACATAAGAATTTTATCTTCTGGTGTCATATAACAATAATTATTGCGGTTTGTTGCACTGTCACGATCATCTTGAAGTGTGGCTCTTATTGAACCAGGATCTCCTCGATACCATAATTATTATCCCTTTAATAATACTTATTACAGGGATAGTGCAATACTTCAAGTGAAATATGAGACAGAATGTACATGTAAAAGCTCTAGTATAATTAAAGCCTAAACTATCATATTAAATTATATCGTTTTATTTCCTTTAAAGAGAGCATTGAATATCACACGTTTAATCCTCAGTCAAAATATCAAGAGTGAACATTAATATCCATAAACACCATTGAACTAGCCACATCCTCGACGTGTTAATAACTTCCCGGGACTAGTTGAGGAGGTCATGGCGGGCGGAGAGGAAGGCCCCACGCTGTCAGGAACTGACACTTCCCTCAAAATTAATTGTGTACTGACATTTCCCTCCCGCGCGGAGCCAAGGGCCTCTTAAATAATAACTAGAGTAATCTAACGCCGGTAATGACAACTCGACTGTATGCACAGTAAACTCGGTTAACTGATATAAATGTGCCACTCTTGTTTGCTTGCTATGAACATTTGGCGATGAATTCACATTTTATTTTGTTATTATCACAGCCATCGTTATTTACACTTGTATTGTTGCCATGACCGCTGTGACGCCTCCAGTCAACCCCTAAATGGTTCGCACTACTACACAAAGCACCTGACCTTTGGTTCTAATAAGAATGAAATAAAAATTTTGTTATAATTTTTTTGGTCTAAGATTAATGTTAAAAACATTTCCAAACTTAAAAAATTCCTTTATTTTAGTCGTAATAATAATAATAATAATAATAATAATAATACAAATAATAATAATAATAATAATGGCTAGGCTTGGTATTGGGTGTAAGGACAACCAATTAATGCTGTTATTTTGAGGTTATCTCGAGAGGATTGCAGGGCTTAGCGTCCCCGCGGCCCGGTCCTCGACCAGGCCTCCTTTTTGTTATCCCCCCCCCCCCCAGGAAGTAGCCCGTAGCAGCTGTCTAACTCCGAGGTACCTATTTACTGCTAGGTCAACAGAGGCATCAAGGTGAAAGAAACTCTGCCCGTTTGTTTCCGTCTCCACCGGGGATCGAACCCGGAACCTCAGGGTTCCTAAGGACTACAAATCCTGAGCGCTGTTCACTCAGCTATCAGGACCCTAGTGAAGGGGTGAAGTATACTAGCCGTGACACTAGTATACTTCTAATCTGCAAGTATACTTTACTTCTGCTCTGTGTGTGTATGTGTATCTGCTAGTCAGCAATAGTGATTTGGCGTCAGGGTTATATTGGAGGGTTACAAGGCTACCATAATAGCCTACTGGCCTACATTGGTCCTGAAAATAGTTCAGGACTGAAATAAACTGTGTATACACAGAGAATGGTGTATACACTTGTATACATGTATACATCCTTGTCCAGCAATAATGATACTATTACTGCCACTTCCAACACCATTACTGCCAAACAATGTTATTACCCAGACGTGACCACATACTGTACTTCATAACCCCCACATGACCACATACTGTACAGTACTTCATATCCCCCCCACATGACCTCATACTGTACTTCACAACCCAGACGTGACCACACACTGTACTTCACAACCACACATGACCACATACTGTACTTCACAACCCCCACATGACCACATACTGTACTTCACAACCCCCACATGACCACATACTGTACTTCACAACCCCCCACATGACCACATACTCTACTTCACAACCCCCCACATGGCCACACACTGTACTTCACAACCCAGACAAAGCAGGTAGAAGGCAGCACATCAGTTCAAAAATCAACTAGAAAAAAATCCCCCAGGAATAATATTGGGACCTTTGTCAAGCCACTAGTTTTCTGTCCAGTGGCTTATCATACTTACCAGCATACTGGTACACAGCATACTGGCTCGACACAAGTCGAGCCTGGCCTCGGGCCGGGCTTGGGGAGTAGAAGAACTCCCAGAACCCAATCAACCAGGTATCAACCAGGTATCATACTCATCTCATGTATTCTTCCCTCAGATAAAACTGTTCTACATTTGAATAGTAATACAGTACATCTGTATCATACACCATCACTTCAAAGAGACATCTGCAGTACTATATCCAACCATGGAGTCTTCACTTTAGAAAGGACATATCTGCTTCGGAAAAATTTCAAAGCTAAAAAAAAAGTCATCCCAGAACTAATTCAACTCACATACCAGGAAAGGTTGTGGGCTTTGAACTAATAACATTACAAACCAGACATAATGGGACTAATTCCCATCTAGATCTTTAAAATACTGAACGAATTGAAAAATATAAATTCAGACCACATCTTTAATAGGTCCAATGAAAACTCACAACTCGCAACAGTTTTCAGCTCAATCAGCCACAATGAAGGGCAGACAACGGGGAAATGCATTTTCACCTATAATGTAATAAATCCATAAAATCGTCTATCTGCCAAAGCCATAAATGCAGATCACTAGTAGTACTCCAGTTGAAAAACTAACTGGAAAAAATTCTCAAAAACAACAGTGGGGGACTTTTGCCAACTCACCTGCCTCCTGTCCCTTTTGAAGCCACTAGAGATGGTGGTCCTTGGGTAAATTCAGGTAAATATATCATTCTGAATTTTGTCAGATGCAAAAATGAAATGTAAATGCAAATTGATAGACTTCCATTTGCATATATGCTGGAGGATGACATTACACGCCAACTGTTAAATCTACATAAAAAAGGAAAGAAAAACAATATGGCAGACATGTTTACTTACCTGTAGTGATCGTGGGTGATGTGAATGGAGCTGGGAGGCCTGTATCATGTCGTCCAGGGTATCGTTCAGAGCGTCCAAACTATCTTCACTTTCTTCCTTTTCTTTCTCCGAAACTGACTTTCCAACCTCGTCTGAGTTGCTATCAGATTCAGACAACTGTAAAAAAATAAAAATATAGTACCATATACTGTACAGTATGTATAATACTGTATTCAGTTAGCCAAAAACCATTATACAGTATACCAAAATGAAGTCTTACATTTTATCATTTGTATGACTAGGTTTTATATATAATTTTCAAATAATCGGTACTAAATAAAAAAAAACTTTAAACTGATTAATAATTTCTCTACAGTTTTAATAACTCAAGTCATAACTGACATAACCAATTTTAAAGGTTCGTTCTCCACTACAATACGCTGCTGCCTCTTGACTATACGTATTGTATAGTACATAATGATTGCCTATAAAGCTGCAATAAAAATAAATAATCATAAATCTGGCCCAAATTTTAGTTAGGTATTGAATCACAATACAATCCACAACATTTGTATAGTTATACTGTGGCTTGGTCTTGTGTTAATACCATTATCAGCACACATGGTGCATTTTTATTATTGTCTCATTTTATAAAGGCATAATTAATGAGCTCTCCAGCAGCTTTGATAACAGTTATTCCATTTCATGACAATTACTATAAATATACAGTATATCAAGAACAGCAATATGGTGATGAGACTTGGTCAATATTGTATCTAATAGATTACACAAATTAAAATATATAGATAAAAACTAGTCAATACTCTTGGTTGTATTGGTTGAAAATAGAAATAATACTTAGCTTTTTATTTTAATATATAAATTACCTTTTCATCTAAATTTTAATTTCGTCTCTACATCTTTCATAAAATAAATGCTACATATACTTTAATTAAGTGAGAGTTCTATAAAATAAATATTTTTTTTGTTAAGAAAAAATATTGACAAAAAAGTATTAGTAGTAATGTACCTTCCAAGTTGTCTCTCCAGTCTCGGAGCAATTAAGTCCAACAAACTTAAGTGCCTCGTCAAGGTTGAAATCGAGGTTCAGTTCTGGCACCGTCTCATTAAGTGTGAAGGAAGGAGAGTTTAGGGGTGACACTGGCTCAAACGTCACGTCTCCTCCACTGATTTGGCTCTCAGGTGAGAGTAACTGTTCACCTGCAGGCAAAATAACCAAAGACTTGAATAAATTAATGAAGTAACAGTCTTATATTTCAGCATGATGACCAAACCATACATCAGATAATGAAGAAACGATGACGTTTTGATCCGTCAGAAACTGATCAGGGACCCATACCTGATCAACCAGGAGGCCTGGTCGACGACCGGGCCGCAGGGACGCTAAGCCCCGGAAGCACCTCAAGGTAAGGTAACCTCAAGGACTGTTATCAACATTGTCTTTCCTCCATTTTTTGATGTGTGGTTTGGTTATCATATCCTCAGCCACATTATTTTGACTCATCATCTACATATTCAGTATGTAAAATGCAACAATAAATCATTAATATTGCATATACTGTATGTACTGCAATAAATAAATTTGAATAGATATACAATACAGCAAAGTATTTGAAAGATATTCATATGATAATGAATACAGAATTTGTCATGATGAGTAAACAACCCATTATGAGAATCACTTACAAAATCATAAAAATGTATGACATATTGTGGTTTCTAACACAAATAAGGCTCTCTAACTAAAACAACTTTGCTTTTATCTTAATAAACAATAATGCATGAACATGAAAGCAGATAGAAAACTAGTTCTAATTACAGGCATACAGTACAGTAGTTTCAAATAAATACAATATATCCAGTATTTTATATAAATTTTTAATTAGTGACTATACATGTATACATAAATTATTGTACAAAAACAAGGATATACACATATGCATAAGTTACTTGTCATGATACTTTCATCAAAATTCTCTGGGTCTAGTATTGCAGAGCTCTTCATTTGAAGAAAGTAATATATCACAATAAAATGTCTTGCAATCTTAAAAAAGTCTAAAAATAGATACATGCAGCAAGTCAGCATTTTAAATGTTACATTTTCTAATTAGCTGGATGACTGCACAGTGGCAGTAATACTGCCAGCAAAATGATTAATGTAGCGTCTTCCGATATTGACAGTGAGTCATGTGCTACATCATTTGTGTTTGCAATTACCATTACTTCATTTTTATCTAAGCAAATCTAAGCTAAATTTATCTGTACAGCATTGAATAAATCACAATAACATGGCTGAAAATTAATACCCAACCAATACATAGGAAAAGAATGAGTGATGACATTCCTAACACCAATACTGTATAACTTTCAGTTTTCACCCAGCGAAAGTTTACCCCTTACTACAAGGGAAGAACAAATACTGTAATAATTGAAGCAATAAATAATTAACTACACCATGACCAGTAAATGAAGAGACTGTAAACATTCTATTTTCATATACAGTAGGCCTATGCTGTATTGTGTAAACATAAAATGTACACCCTTCTCAATTGTTAAAAAATGCATGCATTCTAGGATATTTTTGCATATTATTAATATGAAAAAATAACTCAAGCTTACATAATGACAAAAATACAATGTTAATGTTAACAACAATATAACACAACCAATATAATTATTCATAAATCATTAAGTTGTTGAATAATTGCGTAAATCTTGACTGCATTTTTAATTAAATAATTGTAATGAGATGTACAAGAAATTTGAAAACTATGGTTGTATGAAGGAAAAGCTGAACATTACATCTTAACCCTATTAAAAGTCCCCAAAAATAACCCTGGTCTTGGTCTGAGTTTTCAGATCAATATCACTTAAAGTAACATTACTTTAAATAAATATTTTGTACAATTACAAATTAATTTTCCGTTGTTGGAAAGAGGAAGCCCGTACTTAGACTTGTATCAAGGCCACCCCAGGTTGAATTACCAACCTTCCCCAGGATTCAACCCACAACACCTGTCTAACTCCTAGGTAATTATTCAATGCTAGGTGAGCACAGGCATCAGGTGAAAGAAACCATGCTCAATTCCGTTCTGCTTAGGGATTGAAACTGCAATCCTCAAGTGTGAGTTGAGAACACAGACCACCGTACTACAAGGCCCATCAATGCTTCAAGTTTACACTCAATATTTGTAACATAAGATTCAAGTAAACATATATATCTAAGACAACTTTTTAATTTAACAATTGCATTACCATGTGCTGTATTTATCTTTTCATATCTATATACAATATCAGCAATAGCCATGAACTTTATCTACCACATCTGACAAAATATACCATACAATATTTTTAACAGGGTTTGGTGAGTTATAACAAATGGACGGATAATAATATAAATCAACAGAATTTCACTTAGAATTTCAATGTAGATATATTCAGTTACAGCATAGCTCTCTACCTTCAAATTTACATTTTTCTGAGGTTTTCTTTAACAGAAATATTATACTTGTCCACAAATAGCATTATCAAAAGTTAATTATGGTGCATTATAATTACATTAGCTAACTATATTATAAAATGATCTAATTCTTTATATTTAGCCAATACACAATGCTTAGATTAAATCTGAATGGTGATGAGCGGCAAGAAACATAACAAAACAAGTCGTACAAAAAATGACTTTGTCAATTTAATCCACTTGGGGATAAAAATAGAACATTAATCTATTAAATATTTCTCATCAAAGCAAGAGTATTTTACCACGACATATGATCTCTTTCAAATCATTATTTGCTCTATTTTCTAAATTATCTTGAAGCAATAATGGTTTTGGGAGATTATATTTATAGACAGGACCGACTGACACTGTGACTGCTATACAATACTGTATTTTCCTGTCTGGCCCAGACATGGGGGAAAAGTCACTAATATGTGAGAGGAAATGCAAAAATTTCAAGACTTTTTTTGCCATAAATTAATATCACAAAAATAGTAATCAATAAGAATAATTTACATTTAATGGGTGGTCTGTTGAGTGATTGTTGCCATGGCTGAGGGTGGTGTGTTGGGTGATTGTTGCCATGGCTGAGGGTGGTGTGTTGGGTGATTGTTGCCATGGTTAAGTGCTGTGTTGATTGATTGTTCACAGACTGAGGGTGGTGTGTTGGGTGATTGTTGCCATGGCTGAGGGTGGTGTGCTGAGTGATTGTTGCCATGGTTAAGTGCTGTGTTGATTGATTGTTCACAGACTGAGGGTGGTGTGTTGGGTGATTGTTGCCAAGGCTGAGGTTGGTGTGTTGAGCGATTGTTGCCATGGCCGAGGGTGGTGTATTGATTGTTGCCATGGCCGAGGGTGGTGTGTTGAGCGATTGTTGCCATGGCTGAGGGTGGTGTATTGATTGTTGCCATGGCTAAGGGTGGAGTGTTGGGAGAGTGTTCACAGCCTGAGGGTGGAGTGTTGGGTGAGTGTTCACAGCCTAAGGGTAGAGTGTTGGGTGAGTGTTCACAGCCTAAGGGTGGAGTGTCGGGTGAGTGTTCACAGCCTGAGGGTGGAGTGTCGGGTGAGTGTTCACAGCCTGAGGGTGGAGTGTCGGGTGAGTGTTCACAGCCTGAGGGTGGAGTGTCGGGTGAGTGTTCACAGCCTGAGGGTGGAGTGTCGGGTGAGTGTTCACAGCCTGAGGGTGGAGTGTCGGGTGAGTGTTCACAGCCTGAGGGTGGAGTGTTGGGTGAGTGTTCACAGCTTGAGGGTGGGGTCTTGGGTGAGTGTTCACAGCCTGAGGGTGGAGTGTTGGGTGAGTGTTCACAGCTTGAGGGTGGGGTCTTGGGTGAGTGTTCACAGCCTGAGGGTGGAGTGTTGGGTGAGTGTTCACAGCCTGAGGGTGGGGTGTTGGGTGAGTGTTCACAGCCTGAGGGTGGAGTGTTGGGTGAGTGTTCACAGCCTGAGGGTGGGGTGTTGGGTGAGTGTTCACAGCTTGAGGGTGGGGTCTTGGGTGAGTGTTCACAGCCTGAGGGTGGAGTGTTGGGTGAGTGTTCACAGCTTGAGGGTGGGGTGTTGGGTGAGTGTTCACAGCCTGAGGGTGGGGTGTTGGGTGAGTGTTCACAGCTTGAGGGTGGGGTGTTGGGTGAGTGTTCACAGCCTGAGGGTGGGGTGTTGGGTGAGTGTTCACAGCTTGAGGGTGGGGTCTTGGGTGAGTGTTCACAGCCTGAGGGTGGGGTCTTGGGTGAGTGTTCACAGCCTGAGGGTGGGGTCTTGGGTGAGTGTTCACAGCCTGAGGGTGGGGTGTTGGGTGAGTGTTCAAATGAGAGGTGTGTCAAGTCATCATGACTGATCACTGTACGCATGGATGACACACACAGCAAGTGACACCCTTTAATACATGGGTAAGCAAGTACTGTAGCATGAAGGAGAGGATTCCCCCCCCCCCCCCATTGTGCACTGTCAAGAATAATATCCTTAACATAAAACAGTTTGAAAACAAAATACTGAAGTATTAATTTAATTACCCCCAAAACACTCCAAACACCACTAAAAACACACCACTCAAAAACTGTCATTAATCATTAATTTGCACACCAAGTAAAATACAGCCCAAAAACTGGTCGATAAAAATATGATACAATTTACAATTGAATAACAAAGGACAATGGCTAAATAATATATTCTTCAAATTTATGTAAAAATTCAATAATAATGATGTATTAATTGAATTATGATTTTTCATCTAATCATGAATTGGCAAATTACAGCATATTGTGATGATATTTGGTCTGCTATTATTATATTACCTGAGAATATTCTTCCTCATATAACTGTAATAATAACTTAACCCAAAACAGTTAATATCAAACCTTTAACTCAAATTTGCTGTCTCTTCAACATATAAATTTAATAAACACAAAATTTTCTTTTACCACTCATTATTCATATTTTCCAAGTTCTCCAAACTGGGCAAATTCACTTATTCATGTTGTTTGCTAACTTTATAATTCTAATGCTATACAGATTCTTTATAACAAATCTGCACTAGCAATATTTAAAACTATACAAATTCTAAATACATTACCTGTATGTATTACTTGTATAATTAATCACACTGCCCCTTTTATTCCTGTAATTATAAAAACATGCACATCTCCTGAGCCAGGTGAGTACGACGGGCTCACCATAGCCCGTGTTGCTTGGAACATTTTGTTCAGAG